GAGGCTCTTTAGATGGTGCCCATTTGTGGAGAGAAACTTCAGGTGGGAATAAAGACCAAGAGGAAGGCTCTCTCAGGCATCCCTTCATGGTCCTGCTTGGGGCTTCAGACAGCACGTCTTATGCCTTGCAAGCCAGCTGCCACAGATACAGAAGCCTCTCTGTTTCTAAGAAAGTTCAGTTTGAATGTTTCAGATAGGTTTTCACCATGATCAGGGAACCAAGAAGGTATTCTTGCCTAAGATTCAGCAGCATGGCTATGCAGCCATAATGAAGAGAGAGCCCCAAATGGCAGAGGACTCAGATCCTGAGCTGGCCCTCCATGGTCCACCCACTGTGTCCCACCTGCAGTTTCTTTCTTGGAAATTCCAGCTTCATTACAAGGAAAGTGACATTTCTCAGTTCTCTCTGTGAAGCAGTCATTTTTCAATTCCACTAGAATGTACTGAGCACGTCCTGGTGGGAAGCATTGAGTGAGAAGTGGAGATAGACTCTCTGCCCATCAAGGTTTATAGTCCAGGTTTAGAGAAAGGCAACAAGGCGATTTTAAACAACACAGCTCTCTCTCAAGCATGAGTTGGGGCAGGGTATTCACTCTTTAGGAATCAACAAAATGGCTTTGGGCCATAGGAATCATAGCCATGGGATACCAAAGGAAGCTGGCCAGCTTCTTCTTCCACCCTAGAATTCTCTCTCTGAAAGCATCCCAGAAGTCTTTGAAAAGGGGAAATCCTCATGTGGGCCAGAAACTAGCCCCCTCTGCTTTTTTCTCCCTGAGTTGGGCTCGACCAGGGGAAAGGCCTGCAACTGCCCTGCAGTCTACCTTGCAGAGGGTAGGGCACACACTCCTTTGAACAAAGGAGTGCTGGATGAATTGAGTCTCAACAACAGTGAGGTAAGGAGGAGCCCAGAATTCTGGCCTGCTGCTTCCCAGCCCAGCCACCACAGGGTCAGGAGTGTGGGATTCAAAAAGATACTTACCAACTGGAAACAGCTGTCATCTGTGAGTTCTTCCCCAGAACGGGCAGTGGCATTGCCTGCCAGTCTTTCTCTCTCTCCTTCCCTACTCTCTCACTGTCTTTCCAAAGCACATATTTGGGTAAGTGACCCTGCTAATCCCATCCAGGCAGAATAATTCCGGCTGGCCTGGGGCCTGGGGCTGTGTGGGTGTATGCAGGAGAACCGTGCAAGCAACTCAGGCTGCAGACTGTCAGGGGCGCAGCAAGCTCAGCTACAACACAGAGATGTGGCCTGTGTGCGTGGTGTTCAAGTACATCAGGGGTATGCTCTGTACTGAAGCTTCTCGAAAGAACTCTGAGCAGTAACCTCTCCATGGGAACATCCAGGTGGCCGCCCAGTCACCCTAACCACAGGCCAAAGACGTCAGAGAATCAACAGGTTCTGGGACTCAGCCTTGCAGACATGGAGCTAAGAGGTCACTCTGTCATAATAAAGCCAGGTGGCGAGTGTGTGAAGGAGCTTAGAGTCCGAGCCTCAGATTGACATTTTGCACCAAGATGTGCAGGATCTGAATTAGTATATATAATAGGTGAGTATGAGAGAGTAGTGAGGGTCCTGGGTAACTGAGAGAAATGGAGGGATGTGACCTGAGTAGAGGGACCTGGAGTCCGCACGGGTCAGGGAGGAGGGTGGCAGGGGTCTGGGGTCGTGCTAACAGTCGAAGCGTGGGGTTGTGTGGGGATGTACCAAGCAACACAGTTCAGCTTCCCTTTTCCCGATGCGTGCCGCAGGGGCCGTACCCAAAAGAGAGGCCTGCAGCGGGCTCGGTGCCTCATCTCCCCGGGGTGCTTCAGAGCCCCGCCAGGAACCGGGGCCACAAGACCTAGTTCAGGCGGCCGGCTGCTTGTTTCCGGGCCGCGGGCCGCGGGCCGCTCACCTGGCGAGGCCCGACTGCCGGCCCCAAGGCGCCGGCCGCTTCCGCGACTGTCGCAGGATTCCCGGCTCCGGGGAGAGAAGCTTTGCTCGCGCCGGCTGTCTGGGCGTCGGAGGCGCGGGCCCGGCGCGGGGCCTCGGAGGTGCCGGAGGGGAGGCCGCGGTCGGTCGGCAGGTCTCTGTCTGGCCCGACTTCTGCAGGCGGCGCTCGGGTGGGAACACCAGAGGGAGGCGCCGGCGGCTCCTGAGCTGCAGCTGCGGGCCCGGGGAAACCCGGCGGTAGAAGCTAGGAGCTCCGCCCGGTCCCTGGAGGTGGGTACCACCCGAGGTCAATTGAGTCGGGGCCCTGAGCCCCCCACACAAGCTTCGGCGTGGTCTGTCCCGCCAGAAAGGATCCTGACCTCGCAGGGAAGTGGGGCCCTCCCCAACCTGTCCATGAAGGTTGAGAAGTAAACTAGGGCGCGTCCCACCTTCCTGGAGAGATCAATACCTGGGGAGAACAGAACTCCTCTTTTTTACACTCAGAAAATCCTTTAGAGGCACTCCTTCCTCTACCCCGACGCCCTAGGCGCGCGACACACACACACACACACACACACACACACACACACTCCTTAAAAGACTGAAAAGGGAGCCGAGTTTGGAATTCGGGGAAGTGATGACACACACAACAATGCTGTTACACCTGGCTGCTGCTGGCCAGAAGCGGAAATGCCTGCAAGGGGGAGAGAGAGACAGAGAGCCAGCCTGGGTGGTCAGAAAAAAAAGAGAAGAAGAGATAGCAGCATCCCAGGGTGGGGCCAGCCCCAGCTGTTTTTCCCCCTGCCCAGGCCACGGGGGTTGATGGGCACTGCAGGCGATCTGCAGCAGCCCAAATCAAACTTCCACCCATAGCCTGGGCACCCATGTAGGAAGGATGAAGAAAAACACCTGCACTCCTGCCCAGGAAGCAGGCACAGAGAATGTGAAGAAGTGCCACTTTGCCCTGCTATTGGGAGCAGTGGGAGAAAACCAGAAAACTATTATATTTTCAGCGGTGGGCTGGAAGAGAGTATTTATTGGGATGAGTTTAGGAGAGCCCTGCAGCCTCTTACTGTGGTGGTCAGACCAGGCTTTTCTGCTGACCTCTCTAAAGTCGTCTTCAGGATGCTGAATTCCACCCTGTCCTCCTTTCCTTTAACTTCAGAATGCAGATCAGAGGCCTGGGTGGGAAGCAGCAGCACACGCAGGTCAGCTTTGACTGCCTCAGAGACTGGGCAGCCTGGGAGGACAAGGTGGTGACAGGCATTGGGCCAACCACTCCAGACATGCCAATCACTAACACACACCTGCAGGACATCCATTCAGTCCACCTTCCTCTGCAAAGAATCCCTGCCCCCTCAGAGCCCAGGAGTTTGGAGCATGAGGACTCAAAACATGGGCCATCTCTCTCACACTTATAATCACAGAATTTTTGTTAAGGCTGTTAACAGTTAAAAAGCACACCTGACTTTTTTTTCTTTTTTTCTTTTTTGGCCAGCGCTGACTTCCCCTGAGATAATGTGTGCAAATGCAAATGTAAGTGGGTCTCAATCAGATTTCTGCTGAAGGTAGGTGAGAACTCACCTCTCCACCCTGGAGAAATAAATGTCAAGAGAGAGATTTGAACTAGTGCTTCCCTCACAGACTATTTTTCTTCCTGGTCTGAGACAGGATAGATAGATATAGATATAGATATAGATATAGATATAGATATAGATATAGATATAGATATAGATATAGATATAGATATAGATATAGATATAGATATAGATATAGATATATACTGGCAGCAGCAATGGAGGCAGGAAGAATTTTCAAAAGAAAGCAGGGAAAGGGGGAAGGGAAGGAAAAAATGAAGAAAGGAGAGAGGAAAAAGAAAGAAGAGGCAATATCCTTGAGCCACATTTACTCTGTGATACACATCATTACATATCTATAAATATAAATGTTTTACCTCATAAACCTCACAGCTTGTACATGTGCATACCTGTTTTTGCACCAGCACACGTACACCTGGGTAGCTATCTCACGTGTCTCAAGGACAGACCCTCCCCTGACTTCTAGATGTGATACCAGTGCCCTTACACGGTTCCCCAAAGCCCCATGGCATCAACCTTCGCGCCTGTGTCGGAGCAGGAGCACAATGGGGTCTACTTGGTGTTAAAGCACATATACAACCGGTAGGAGTACCACGCGCATTCTGAAGAGGGTCTGGTTCCTAGGTCCACCGGCAGCTCAAGAAAGGGCGAAGGAGCTTCAGGCGGAGCCCCTGGGCGCCTCTTCCCAGCGATCTTCTCCCTAGCCCCAGCCCGGCCCAGTCACACCGAGAGCGCCAGGAACAGGCCAAGCCGAGGTTTTCTCCTTCAGTGACACGCGTTTCTGGGCTGATTTTCCCAAAGCCACCGCGCAGCTCTCTCCACCCCACCCCCGCCCGGCCCCCTCGCCGTCCTGCCCCTCCCCCAGCCCTGAGCTAGAAGTTTACTCCCAAGACAGCAGCAAAGGGCAGAGCAAAGGAGTCGTTTTCTTTCACCTGAAAGCTGCGAGGAGGCTTGGCACGCCTCTCCTCGATAGGGCCCGAGCTCCCTGCACACGGGGTCGAGTGGGGACGGGCCCCGCAGAGCGAGCACCAGCAGATTTCCAGGGTTTGTGAGAGAGTGAGCCCGGCTGTCCGCCAGGCCCCCAAGCTCGCTGAGAGGGGGCAGGCCAGTCCGGGTTGTGCGGGGCGTTTACAAAAAGTGACTTGAAGATGAACTCGCCCGTGCGCAACTGGCCGCCCAGCTATAGGGGCGAAGGCGCCTGACGCAAGCGGAACTCAGCGGAGCCCATACGAATCAGAACAGAGAGAGGCTCCTGGCGCACTAGGGACTCCGGGCGGCAGCTCCGCCAGAGACGCGGGTCTTGCTTCGAGAAACCGGAGGGTGGGGGAAGGGAAGAGCGCAGTGAAGAAAACCCATCGAGGCGGGGACTGGCCTGGCGGGGAGGGGCGGCTGGGCCGGAGCCCCTCTCTGTTGGGCGGACTCCCCATGGCCAGAAGCTGAGCTCCACTCCCGCCGGCCGCTCCCTAGGGGAAGGGGGGAAAAGTGGAGAGAAACGAGAGGCCGCAAGCGAACGAGGGCCGCGGCATCGGCAGACTCCAGAAGTTTGAGATTCGGCCGCGCGCGGACTTGTGCGCCCGGACTCTTCGCTGCACCAGCACCAGCACCAGCAGAAAGGAGCAAGGGCTGCCTGGCCGCGGCGCGCCGGCTTTGTCATGATGGCCAGCTACCCCGAGCCCGAGGACGCCACGGGGTCTCTGCTGGCCCCGGAGACCGGCCGCGCAGCCAAAGAGCCCGAGGCGCCGCCACCGCCGAGCCCCAGCAAGGGCGGTGGCGGCGCCGGGACAGCCCTGGAGAAGCCCGACCCGGCGCAGAAGCCCCCATACTCGTACGTGGCGCTTATCGCCATGGCGATCCGCGAGAGCGCCGAAAAGAGGCTCACGTTGTCTGGCATCTACCAGTACATTATCGCCAAGTTTCCGTTCTACGAGAAGAACAAGAAGGGCTGGCAGAATAGCATCCGCCACAACCTCAGTCTCAACGAGTGCTTTATCAAGGTGCCGCGCGAGGGCGGCGGCGAGCGCAAGGGCAACTACTGGACGCTGGACCCGGCCTGCGAGGACATGTTCGAGAAGGGCAACTACCGGCGCCGCCGCCGCATGAAGCGGCCCTTCCGGCCGCCGCCCGCGCACTTCCAGCCGGGCAAGGGGCTCTTTGGGGCCGGAGGCGCCGCGGGTGGCTGCGGCGTGGCCGGTGCGGGGGCCGACGGCTACGGCTACCTGGCGCCCCCCAAGTACCTGCAGTCCGGTTTTCTCAACAACTCTTGGCCGCTACCGCAGCCGCCCTCGCCCATGCCCTACGCCTCCTGCCAGATGGCGGCAGCCGCAGCGGCGGCCGCAGCGGCAGCGGCCGCCGCGGGCCCGGGCAGTCCAGGCGCGGCCGCGGTGGTCAAGGGGCTGGCGGGCCCGGCCCCCTCGTACGGGCCGTATTCACGCGTGCAGAGCATGGCGCTGCCTCCGGGCGTAGTGAACTCTTACAACGGCCTGGGAGGCCCGCCGGCCGCGCCCCCGCCGCCACCGCACCCCCACTCACACCCGCACGCACACCATTTACACGCTGCCGCTGCACCCCCGCCAGCCCCACCGCACCACGGGGCCGCCGCACCGCCCCCAGGCCAGCTCAGCCCTGCCAGCCCAGCTACCGCCGCGCCCCCGGCGCCCGCGCCCACCAACGCGCCCGGCCTGCAGTTCGCCTGCGCCCGGCAGCCCGAGCTCGCCATGATGCATTGCTCTTACTGGGACCACGACAGCAAGACCGGTGCGCTGCACTCGCGCCTTGATCTCTGAGAGTCCAGCAGCGCACGCCTGATGCGAGGATGCAGGGACGCGCGACGCCAGCCTTGGCCGCAGCCACCGCCGCCAGCCCGACCGCGCGCCCGCTGGGGCCGCTTCTTGAGCCAGCGCCCGCGGCCCCTCTGCGCCTCCTCGCACCCCTCGGCTCCTCTCGCTCCTCTTTGTCTCCTTCGCTTCTCCTTCTGTGCTCGCCTCCTTGGCCTCTATGCCCTTTCACTCCTGCCGCCTGCAGGCCGCCTCTCCGCGCGCTTTCTGCAGGCCCCGTCTCCGGGCTGGACATCCTATGCCAAAATTCAAGGCGGAGAGGAAGTGCCTGGGTCGAGGTGCAGCCGGGCGTCAGCGGCGCAGACCGCTTGGCAATCTCTCACAGGTCGGTGCGCTCGCGCTCGTCTTTGCCCGCCCGGCTGCCGCGCAGTCCTTGCGTAGAAGTGCGGGTCTGGGCCGACTTCGAACCCCGCGCCGCCGGAAAAAAAGACGAACATGGGTTTGCTCCGTAACCCCGTGAAGCCGTTCAGAAGTCGCTCGCCAGGGCCCACTGGGTGGGGCGGGGTTTGGGCCGGAGCAGGGAGCCGGGCTGCCTCGCTGGGCGGCCTTCGCCCGAGTTTACACCACATCCCGGCTCGGAGAAAGGCTGCGTTTCCTTCGCTCTCCATCCTGGCGCCTCGGGCCCCTCCGGGCCCGGCGGCTGGCTAGATTTTACTAAAAGGATCGAGAGAGCTGTTTCAGATAATATTTTTAAATGTTTGTTAAGAAAAAAAAAACTCACTGGGAAAACCGGCGAAGTATTGTGGCCTTGGAATTCGCTAAAGCAAAACATGAAAATCTCTTCCCGGAGATTTGAAGTCGAATTCCTATGAGGCCTTCAAAAAGCTGTGTTAAGAGAGGTAGGAGAGTATGCTCAGTAAAAGATGGTTTCCGCTACAAATTGGGGGATTTTCCTCCTCTACCAATTTTTTTTTTTTAATCAAAAACAAATTTTCCCGGATCTTCCGATGCAAGTCCCTAGTGCCAGGGAAGATCATAGCCTGGCGGACGCTGCAGGGACCGCTCGCCCTCTCCCTGATTTTTGTTTTTCAAATGTCTTGCTTCTCGCACCTTGGGCAGCAGTCGGACCAGATGGGCTTGTCGCCCAGAGCCGGCCTGCCCGAAATTCCTAGACCTGATTGTTCTGTAGTGTGTCGTTTGAAGGACCAAATTTTCTAGAGAGAACTAGAGCACTTTTGTTGTTGTTTTGTCAATACCCGAATAAATTTCTTGTTCTTTCTTTTAACACGGACTTACATTATTTCCATCATGCCTGTTTGTTCAGCAGCTAGTTAAAAGAGGAAGCTTTTCAACAAAATTTTATCCTTTTTCAGATAAACGTGGGTGGAGGGCAGCCCAAGACAGGGCATTTGTAGTTGCCTCTACTGCTTTGTTTTCTCGGGGATTGTTTTCTGTGTCATCGCGGTTCTGTTGCGGCTGTTTCCCCTCATCAGAGATTTTATCTGCCGTGGTTCGTTCACAAGGCGCCGTTGTAGGTAGGATTTGCTGTGGTTTTTGCACTCGTGCAAGTTTGTATTTTACTTCTTACGAGATCGGATTAGGTGTGGGGGCTGTGTTTTCCTTATATTGTCCTCATACTTAAATTTTTTTCCAGTCAAATATAACAGCTAGAAAGGTTTATTACAAATAGATAAAATCCTGTGTGCGAAAATGCCCTGAAAACCTCTGTACAAATATAACGAGTGGCTTATTATTTTTAATAATCACAATTTATTTACCTAGAGATTTGGGAGTATCAGAAAGGGATGAACATACTTCGTGGCTGTAGAAATCTAATTTTTTTTCTTTCTTTTTCTTTCCTGAGACTCTTTAAATAACGAATTAAAACCTGTGCTTCCACTGAGAAACCCTGGGGTTTGACCAGTTGCCATCAGGGGCCCAGAGGCAGGATTAGGGATGGTACACCTTCAGTCCTCCCATCAGATGACAGGTATCAGCCCGCTTTCTCGCTGGGACTCTGGTGCAACTTGGGGTGGACCCTACACCCAGCCCAGTGTCCACCACTGCCTCCCCACTCTGAACCTGACAACAGTAGCAGTAGGTCCCGGTGTTCTGGTGGTCTGGGAGTGGCTGTCCACTGCTGCTCAGCCTTTACTAGTGGTTACCCCTTGGGAACATCAGGGTGGGATCCCTGTTACACTAGTTGGGCCCAAGGTGAAGTGGCTCCGACTCAGGATTGCCCTCTCCTCCCTCGGGCATCCCTGGGGAGAGGGAAGTTAGAGGAAGAAGCCATGAAGTTTCGGAGGAGTATCATCCTGAGACAGGGACTGGAGCCTGCCTGAGCCAGGGGAGCTGGAAAGAACAGGCTGGAGAGAGAGGCTCACCTGGGGTGGGAAGCCCAAGAGGTAGGTCGGGCCTGGGGTCTGGGCACTTCTGGCGACCTGCTGCACCTTTGTCTGGATGACGAAGGGGAATTGCTGGGAAGAAAGTAGACTGCTTCGTGCTTGTCTGTTTGTGCTTTCTGTGGTGTGAGCGTGTATCCCATGGGCAGTTGGGTAGTCTATGACTGCTGCAAATATGTGCATACAGTGTAAGTCAGTATCCTGGTGACAGGGTGGGAGGTGTATATGTCTGTCATTCACCTTTGGAGAGTGCATATATTTGGGACATTGTAATAATCATATGGCTAGTACTCAGAGAGTGCTTACTGAAACCACAGTGTGTGTTGCATTTATAAATCACTGGCAATGTGTGCAGTTATGTTCTGGGTATGTAATCCTGGTTTGCTGGATGATAACGGAGAATACATACAGAACCTGTGCTTCGGCTGCTTGAGGCTCTGTTCTGAGACTGGCTTTCAGCACCTCCCAACTGCTACCCCAAGCTGATCAAGCAGAGGAGGCAGAGCCTTCAGTGAGGTGGGGAAGTTAGCCTAGGCCAGCACTGGAGGACAGAACCTCTCTCTGCCCCCCAGTAACTAACTGAAAAGGCACCCTAGGCTGGGGAGAGTGGCAGCCTCACCAAGTATAAAGGATGAAATCAAGGAATTGGTGTGGGATTCCTGGTCTACTAGGGGATTGGGGAGGTGAGAGAAGGGAGCCAAATCATACCCCACCTCCCCATGGATGCCCACAGGAAGACATGGGTCTCTAATTCCAGCCCTAGGGGTTTCTCAAAACCCTATAGTTTCCTCATTTTAACCCAGTGCTAAAAGGTCAGGGCGATGGCTGACTTTCTTAGTCTTTCATTTCCTCTCTCTTCTCTTTGCACTTTTGAGTTTCTGTTAGAGAAGATGAGTTAAGGGATTCCCTAAATGAGAGGAAAATTATTTAAGAGAGATTCCTGATATGTAGCAATTATGCCCTAGCTTATACGGTGTAGTCCAGATGGCCAGAACACTTGGGTATATGTACATGTTTGCTAGGGTGCACTGTAAATGCAACATAAATAGAGCTTGATACAAATACTCTGCCAACTTCTGCATGTTCTGGATAATGAGTTGCTACACATGGTATTGAATGAGAAGTATGTGTGTGCTTGTATGCATGTAAACATCCCCACACTCACACTGACAAGGTGAGCCACCCTCCTCTCATTTACACACCAATTCTTTTTTTAAATTATTTTTCCTTAATTAATTTTAGAGAGAGAGGAAGGAAGAGGGAGAGAGAGATAGAATCATCAGTGAGAGAGAACATTGATTGGCCACATCCTACATGCCCCCCACTGGGGATTTGGCCCACAACCTGGGCATGTGCCCTGACTGGGAATCAAACCAGAGACCTCTTGGTTCATGGGTTGATGCTGAACCACTGAGCCACATCGGCAGGCTACACACCAATTCTTGGTCACCCCTTCCCCCTAAGACTGCCCAGCAAAAATACTGGGATTGTGTCCTGTTCTGAGGGGAACCCTGGGGAAATCTTTGCTAGTGCAGTAAGGGACTGTGGGATGTGGACCTAGGGGATTCTCTGGAATGGCCTTACACCCTACTCCAGAGGGTGTCCTAGGCCTGCTTCCTCCTTGCGTAAATAAAGAGTTCACTGCCCTGTGTGTCCAGTTTGGGGGTGGGGGGCATGAAACCTGGCATCTTTCACCTGAGATTAGGGGCCCTCGGCTCTTGCCTGGGCCTCCCACTAGCAGAGGCTAGAGGTCTGGGATGCAAGGAGCCCCCTGGTGGTAGGTGGAAATCGGGATGACCAGGGCTTCTTGCAGCCGTTGGGGTAGGAGAGGATGGGCCAGACCCAAGAAACTAGGTCAGACCCACAGAAGCCTGCCCATGAATGAGCTTTTTCCTTAGTGGAGGCTTGGAGCACCAGAACCACTGTGCCAAGCTCAGGAGCCCTGCAGTGCCCCCACCCTGTGGAGCTAAGCTAGCAGTGGCCCTGCCTTGTCATTCCTGCTACCTCAACAGGGTGGTCCCTGGTTCTTGGAGTAGCATGTGGAAGCTATAGGAAGGTATAGGACCAGGGTCCCACACCTTCCCTATGTGATAGGAACCAGAGGCATGAGTAGATGGGAGCAACCTTCATGTCCCCAGTTCTCCCACAGGGACAACCAGAAATTAAGGATTCTTGAAACTAAGCAATCTTACCAATGTGCTTTCTGGAGAGAAGGCCCATTCTGCCTACTTGGGCTCTCCCAGAGGCACAGGCCCTGCTGCCCAACGTTGGGGGAGCTCATTGGATGGAGGGGGAACCAGCGAGAGGAGAAAGAAGCACAGGGCTGGGCAGATTGTACCCAGGAACTTCTGTGATGGCTATTTGCTGCACAGTCTCAACGTGGTAATAAGCTCTGGCAAGCTTGTTCTGGGACTATGTCACCCAGGGATGTGGCTTCTTTGGGATAGGGCACGGACAAGGGCCTGTTCAGCTTGAAAGAACTAGTGTGAAGCCCAGTAACCTCCTTTAATAACTGTGTGACCTTGGGCAAAGCACCCCTGCTGAATGTTAGTTTTCTCATCTGTAAAATAGAACAAATTATAATACCATGCAGGGTTATTACAATAA